ATACTTGATGGTGTTATGCTAAGCCTTTCTTCGGAGACCAAATATCTCGGTACCGTCCTAGACCAGAAACTAAGTTGGAAGAGGAGCATCGAGGAGCGAGCGAAGAAGGGCTTAATTGCACTTTATTCCTGCAAAAACTCCATAGGAAAAAATCGGCCGATGAATTGGACAAATGCGGATCTGATTCAGTAAATCTAGAGATTGGGAGTTCAGTGAAGCCACCCTTATGCCACTTCTTCCAAACACTGCATAAGCATTATTTTGGGAGATTTCAACAGAACTGGCTAACTGGCAGGGGATGTAATGTCAAAAAAAGATTTTTTATTCAGATTATCTAATCTGGCTCCAGCTCCAGGTTTAGAAATTCGGCTACTTTGATGGCCTGTAGCCAGAGATCTTCTGGAGTGAGTTTGGCTGTGCAATTAAAGGGGTGCAGCGTATTGTGCGGTCGTATCACACGCCGGGCATGCGTCACACACATCTTCATCAATTCGTGCCCAATACGAATGGAGACGACTACACCATACTGAACGTAATAGCGCCAAAACTACCCTGGTTTGTCTAGGCAGCTGACGTTCTACAGCTGTAATGAATGGGGGTGGACTCCGAGGACGGCATTCATTTTATAACTGCTAATAGCTTCCGAGACTGCGTCGGTATGTATGCCACTCAGACCTGCCTGATAGGCTTCTTGATCTAGAGTTTCTAGATGTATGTCCTTCCTGACACGCCTGGGTGGGGGGGATTTATCCACCATATGATAGTAACACCCAAACAGGTACTGCAACGAAAGCATATGGTTATGCTGACGTAAAGAAAGGACTTTCGCCTCCTCATGTAGATGGTCCACTGGTGTCATGAGAGGGCACCCTGTCGCAGTTATAAGGGCAGCGTTCTGGCAGATTTGGATATGCTTCCACTGCGTAGCACTAGTATTCGCAGACCACACTGGAGCCGCATAGCTGATCACAGACCGACCTATCGCGTTATAAGAAGTCAACAATGCTTCCTTGTCCGCACCCCAAGTGCTGCCGGCTTGCTCCATGAGGACCTTGTTTCTACATTTCATCTCGTCGCAGATAGCTGTGGCCATTGATTTCGTGGCGGATATTTTCATATTCCTCGCGTGGAAATATGCGAAAAGCTCCGCGAGACAGGGGTTAAGCCTTTCAGATATGTCATCGACCATTGGGGCCGACGCCATGATCGTACAATCATCCGCATACGTTACGATCTTTATGCCGTCTGGAGGGCAAGGTATTCCGGAAAGGTAGAGGTTAAACAGTTCCGGAGATATCACCCCACATTGAGGAACTCCCTGTTTCACTCTACGGGCTTTGGACTTGTTCGGAAATTCCACGTACGACTGTCGTCCACAAATATAGTTGATTATCCAACGTTTCAAACTTGGTCCGAGGGTAGTTCTCTGCACTTCCTCAAACAGTATGGCATGATTGACCGTATCAAATCCCTTTGATAGGTCAAGGGCTACCAACACTGTTCTGTCACTTGGCTTGTTCTGGTTCAGTCCTCTACTAATACGTGTGGAAATGGCAACTGGATAGCTTCCTCTAATGCTGGGGAGGAACAAAACATCATGAGTCTTCGCTACTGGCGACAAAAGCGAAATCGGCCTGTACGATTCGCTTTTACTGGCATCCTTGCCTGGCTTCAGTAGCGGGACCACCCGACCCATTTTCCAGGTTTCGGGCACTATGTGGGTGGCTAGGGTCAAATTGAGAACTTTCTTTATGTAGGTACTCTACTCCCGGCGTATTCAACATTACTATTGAGATTGCGTCCGGCCCAACGCTTTGGATGACTTAGCGTTCCGGATGACATTTGCAACATCGCCCACCGATACAATGTAGTACTCTTCGCTTCGCCCTGTCGCTCTCGGGTTGCTCGACAAATTGTCGGTTAAAATACTCCGCAGAACTCTTCGGATCAGTCACCGTTACGTCGTTAAAAGTGACTGAGGTCCCATCATCCTTTTTCCAGGGTTCGAGAGCGACTTAACTGTTATCCACAACTTGCTCATATCGGTTCCAATGTTGCAACACTTCACATGGTCTAGCCATTTTTCCTCTTATTCCCCTGTACCAACCAATTGACTTCCACTGTCAAATCACTGATTCTAGGATCAGTAGGGTTTGTACGACGGAGATCATCACGCTCGTTTGCGAATCCCGCTGCCTCTGCTGGAAAGTTTGGTCTTATCTCGGGTATTCGACCAGCAGGTATATAGCGAGCGGGTGCAGTTTTGATGATGTTTCGGAAAATCCTTTCTGCTACCCGAACATCAGAAGGGCAGTTCTCTCAAGCGGCGGTTGGTGAATTCTCTGAACTCTGGCCAGTGAGCTTTCCCATGGTGAAGGAAAGTTCAGAGGTTATGAAATCGGACGACCTGATTATGTCATAACAACGTTATAGGCTGCAATTTTCATTCAGCTTGGTTCCCTGCACCGCTGCGATCTTAATATTCCTCCGACTCATAAATTCCACTATCTCATCTATTTTGCCTCGGAGTCCGTTGCAATTGAATTGCATGAATGATGCACAGTACGAAGTTGGAACACCATCATGTGGCGTTAGATGCTGCGGCGTTGCTTGCTGTTCTGGAGACTGCGGTGGAGTTCCATACTCCGACGACGTCTCCGATGAGGACTACGTTACTGCAGCAAGTCGCAACATAATCCCTTTCGCTGTAGTCTCTCCTTAGTCCGGAACAGTTCTTGAAGTGCACCCATTCTCTACATTCATTACATCGCACCGAATCAAATCTGTGGTGGATGACGTTCTGACAAACCAAACAGAACCAAGGTCCGGGGTTTTTCTCAATCCCGGCACGGACCAATAAAATCCGGAGCAAGCATTCCGGGATATGCTTCTCCCAATGCAGAAAAAATAAACAAACGCAAACATGTACATACTGAGTTGGCAGCCGCTGCCCGAAACTGGGATCTCGTTGTTTCGGGTCAATCCGGTATCGTAGAGCCCGCTGCCGTGGGATCGAGTGGAGTAGTTGTTTATACAACCGCGCATCCTTTAACCTAACCTAACCTCCTTAATATTGTACTATTCGATTTTTTGAATTTTCTAACCGAAAAATGTTCTGCTTTAACAATAGATCAAGGGAGAGAATATTTGTCAAGAGATCAAATATTCTGGTACATGAAAAGAAATCCAACAGTTGCTTATAGTTCACAAAAATGTAGTGTATCGGAAAGTTGGAAATTGGAAATGAAAAAATATCGGGAAAATGATATCAATGTTATTTGTGTCTGCCGCACTAAAATACTTTTTGAATGAACATATGGATCGATGGCTATGACACATATGCTCCCGTGGCAAAATTAACAATGATAAGGGCCATAAGATACAAAATTTTACAAAATTATTCACATTTTTATTGCGATATGCATTTTTTTAGACTTTATCCTTTTCTGTAGAATACAATACAATATTTTTTTTTCTTCAGGAGCGTAATCAAACATATTGCTCGGTCTACCCTCATGTGAACATGCCACACACAGCTGACCATAATAAAAACAGGAATATGCTAAGTTTAGTTTGCATACGCGAAGAGTTTGCCCTTTGGATTTATTAATTGTCATAAAAATGCTAAGCGTACAGGAAAATTCAATATTTTAAAGTTGAACGGCAATTTTATTGTTATTAGAGAGATTTAGCCAATTAAATTGTTGTGCCGTTTTTAAGTGTTATCCTAGTACCATAACAAAGGTGTGGTGGGTCGATGTTCCTTAACAAAGTAATATTCGCATCTTAACCGGTTTCAACGTAAATTGATATTTATTTTTAGACAAAATTCCGTCACCTTCCAAACTTCTTCGATATTTGACATACATAGCCTCCTTTTTATGCATCAAATACACGAAATCACTCGACAAATTTATATGGGAACTTTATTCAAATCTGAACCGATTTCAAGATAATTTGACATATTTATTTTTAGACTTAATTCCAGTTTTAATTGAAATTGAAGATATATAGCTTGTTTGCGGCATCAAATACATGAAATTGGACGAAAATATATATGGCAGCCATATCCAAATCTGAACCCATATGATTTGGCAAATTTATTGTTTTACCAAATTCCGTCACTCATTTCAAAATTCATTGGAATTGGGAATACATATCGTGTTTGGTGAATCAAAAACATTAAATCGGACGAGAATATATATATAGTTGTATGTATATTTGTTGTATATTTGAACATTTTCAGGAAAATCTGTTTAGCCGTTTTTGAGTCCATAAATTACAAAAAAATAATCAAACATACAAATATTTTTTATAGCTATAGATATATGGTTCGACCCTTTCATTGTGCAGCAAACACAACATACAATTGAAATATCATCAGATCATAGACAGAGTAACATCAGAATCAAAATGGCTACGAGGTTAACGGAAGATCTAGGAGAAAAAAATTTGCCTCAAAATTTATGAAGACAACAGAAACAAAAATGTCAAACACATAATATTACTTTATGCGAGACCATCTGAGAAATGGAACAGTAAGAACCAATCAACAGCTAGGATCAATTAGCTGAAGTTTTTACAAAATCCTTAGATTGTTGAACTTGAATTAAATATTGTTTACATAAATTACTGGAGAAAGACAAACCTTTTTATTTACAACACTAGTACATACACCATTCATTCCTTAAACAACCCTTGCTTGTAACAATTAATTACTTATTGATTTAATTACTTGATCATAAAATCTAAGGGAAAAAAGCAAAACGGACTATGTTGGATAACATTTGACTGTTGCAATTGCTAAGGCTTGGTTTTTTCTCAAAACCTCTCTTTGAGCTTCTTCATAAAATACCCTTTTTTATTTAAGCAAATGAACACAATGGTACAATAACTATTACTACGACTAGTCGCTAGAAATTATAATTACAAACTAAAAGTTTACATATGAACAAATTACCGTGAAAACACTGCTGGGCTATATATTTTTACGTACTTACCTATTTGTAATGCTTGTGTAAAATCCACAAAGAACTTATTTTCGGCACTCTTCAAAAAAGAATTTGTCAGTAGAACGATTAAGTATCTACAACGTTCCTCGATTAACTTTGTTAGAGCAACATGTTTAAATGCAACTCCGGCAAGCAAATCACGATCTTTTATGCATAACTAAAAAGAACGGCTATTTTATTGGGTTATTACTAAGATTTCCTTACGAATTACCTTAAAGTTGTACTCTGAATTGTCCTCCAATTTTGTTAACATTTCCGTAACGTATGTTAAATCGGTATCTGCATATAGAACAAATGCATCATATCTTTGAGGAGGTAATCCTTTCTTCGCCCGTATGACATCGTCCGTAGTTAAAATATTTGGGTCCGATCCTTGGCCGAAGTCATCGTTGAGATCGAAAGAATTGTCACAGCTTTCAACAGCATTATCATTCTGTTGTATTTTTGTCTGGTACAGCTTTGTATCTTGACCTTTAAGGAAGTGGGAGAAATGAGAACACTACTTATTCGTCATAAGGCAATATAAATATAATTATAAGCAGTCATTCATGTTCAGTTTATATATTCATATATATATACAAGTGGAGAAAGATGTAAATGGATAAAGCCTAAAAATTTTGCAACAACAAAATACTACGGTATCCCGAACAAACAAGCCACACTGTTATATATATATATATATATATATATATATATATATATATATATATATATATATATATATATATATATATATATATATATATATAAGAATTTTAGTTTTATTTAATTCTTTGGTTCCTCTTCTATTGAGCTTACGATCTCGTCACTTGGGTAAAAAAAAATGTTTTTTGTCATAGAAGTTATTTTTAAAATAACTTCTGGGGAGAATATCCCAGACGAAAAACAAGGGAACTGATGAGGATTGGTGGCTCTTTCCGAAACCTAGGTATTCCCTGCCTTACGCCCTGGTAAACATTACCATCGTTCTCCACTAATAAACAAACGTTGTTTTTATAAAAACAACAATAAAGGGATAAAGCCTAAAAATTTTGCAACAACAAAATACTACGGTTCCCGAACAAACAAGCCACATTGTTCTATTAATAGACAAGGCACGGTCGACGAAGGGGTTTTTGTTGTAACAGACAAAACCAACTTACATGGTTATGCTATTTCGTTCAGGTTGAACGAAAGCATAACAAGTGGAGAAAGATGTAAATGTTTATAAGTGCGGTTGTAAGATTTAGAAGACTTTCCAAAAGAATTTTAGTTTTATTTAATTCTTTGGTTCCTCTTCTATTGAGCTTACAATCTCGTCACTTGGGTAAAAAAAATGTTTTTTGTCATAGAAGTTATTTTTAAAATAACTTCTAGGGAGAATATCCCAGACAAAAAACAAGGGAACTGATGAGGATTGGTGGCTCTGTCCGAAACCTAGGTATTCCCTGCCTTACCCCCTGGTAAACATTACCATCGTTCTCCACTAATAAACAAACGTTGTTTTTATAAAAACAACAATAAAGGGATAAAGCCTAAAAATTTTGCAACAACAATATATATATATATATATATATATATATATATATATATATATATATATATAATTATAGATTTTTATTTGTATTTTAATTATGAATATTTATTTGTGTTTTTTGTTACATTTATTTTTATTTAATAATTAAATAAATTTTTGTGTGTTATTACTACGATGTGTTGTTGTCCACTAATTATATTGTATTTTTCATACCTTAATCTAAGTTCCTACACCATGCTCCACTGCCGCAGCTCTGCCACCGCTTTGCTGACGTTGCTGCACTACAGTTGGCTACTCAGGTGTAAAGAACTTGTGGGAATGTTAAATGTCCTGAGTAGCATACGCTCAGATTTAGTTATAAGAATTTTTCTCTTTGTGGAGGCCCTGCGTCGGAGTGAGTGAGCAATCAGTCCTATAAGTAATAAGAATTTCAATAGTCGATAAACTTGCGATATGACTTTGATAGACCACATGTTGTGGGTGATGGATATGTTGGAAATTTTTTTTATATCGGTATGTTGCGTTAGGTTAATCATAGAAGCCCATGGAATTTCCGGTTGTAGGGGTGTCTTTGAATTTTCGTTGTAGTACATCGTATTATTGATTCTAACGAAATCATTAAAGATAACTAGGTAAGTACCATTGACCGTAACAGGGGGTTCGTTGTTTTCTTCTACAACCGCCTGTTGGTCATTGATAACCACCAAACCATCGCCTATGGCTGTAATTGGTGGGAGGTTGTTGAATGTTGTGCTGCAGTTAGCGGTATTACGTGTCATTAGTTCCAGAGCGCATGATTTGAGTGATGATGACAGACAAAATATTGGCATAGTACCGCTGCAGTTTCTTACTGCTGAGGTGTAATTGTGACATGCAGCGAGGGTGGATTCTTGCAAGTGAAGCATGAGGTGACCTTTTGCTACTGGTAATATAATAATTTTCTTACATTTAAACTTAGAGATAAGATATCTTATCAGGAAATATATTACATTATTGTATTGTAGAATCTTAATTTTAGCTACGGCCATAATATCAGCTACGGAGAGGTTTGTGAAGTGCTGGTTTGTTATTTTGAAATTGATTTCATTGCTATCTAAAAGGATAGGATTCAAAACTTCATTTTTTGCGAATGTGATAGAGGTTATTAAGTTATTTAATTCTGTTATTATCGCCCTGTTTCTGGCTAAGAGGACATAATAAAGATTTCCTGTATCAACTTCCCTTTGTTTTTCTGCCTTTAAAATTTTGTTTACTGTAGTGGTGAGGCTATTAATTTCCTTCTGCACATCGGTGTTGATAGTAAACTGTCTCTCCTGTGAGTTGATTAATTGGTCAACTGTGTTTGTCAGTTTGTAGAAGTCATCATGATCAGGTGTCCCAGTGATGTATTTCAGGACTGTTCCCAATGCATTCAGGCTTCTCGCTTGTCTGTGGTGAATATTTACCGTCTGTATCAGTCTACTTATTTGGTTTACGTCCGCATCCAGCAATTTTCTCATATGAGTTAGCGGAAAGTAGTTTGTAGCATTAGCTGTTTCGTCTCTTAGTAATTTGTATAAAGTTAGGTTAGTAACTTGTTTTATGTGTCCAAAGTTTTCCCAAATTACGAGATCCCCGCCGGTTACCGGAATGTATCTCTCATTACAGTTGTCCATTAAACGTCCATTTGATGCCGACACTAATATGGCTATGACCAATCTTAAGGCAATCATTAAAAATGTAAACAATATTTCCTTTAACTCACTACCAATATAATATTTCTTCTTTCTTTTCATTATAGTGAAAGGGACTTTACCGAAGATTGTCCTTATGGACGCTCCTCTCTCTTATCAGAACTGTTGTCCCTAGAACTTGTTGGACTTCTTCTTCACTATAAAGGGGAGTTAGTTTGTTCCCTAATCTCCTATTATTCTTGCCGAGAACTTTTTCCCCTACGGAAAACTCCCTGTCATGTCCGTTCCTATTGTGAGTTGCTAACTCGTTATCCTGGGAGGATTTTAAACGTGACACTACTTGTTCATCATCCTTTGTTGAATGGAAGATGCTTATGGGTCTCATTCCAGCCACCGTATGTATTATATCGTCCAGATTCTTGTCAATTTTAAGGCATCGCGCTATTTCCATTAGTGTGTTGTGGAAGCGCTCCACCTGCCCATTTGATGTGCTGTGTAGGGGTAGGGCAAAGTGATTTTTTAACATAGTATTAATGGTGTGCGAGTTAAGCCAATAAATGGTTTTTGTACCATGGAACATATTTAGCAACTGTAGTAACCGTGGCTTAACATCCACTATAGTCCAGGAATTTAGTGACTGTACTATCGCAAATTTTGAAAATTTGTCGATGCAAGTCAGAAAGTACTTTGACCCAGTGGAAAATATGTCAATGTGAAGGACTTCCCCGCAAAATGTTGGTATGGGTGTCTGGGCAATAATTTGCCTTTTTGGATGGCGATCATACTTTGCCTGGCAACATACACGGCAGTTTGCCACCAACTGCTTCGCTTTTTTTCCATTTTTGGAAAAAACACATTTTCACATTTTCCTGAGCTGCTCGGTGTGCTCGATTATGTCCAGTTGTTATAACTTCCTTTTGTTCATTCGGGTCGGATATATCGATAACTAATTTCTCCGTGTGTCTGAACTTAACATTGGGAAAGAGTTCAACCAATTTATGCTGGAATCGTGCCACTGTGGGCAAGTCGCACCGCAGTGCGTTTACTACATCCGTTTTTACAGATTCTTGTACACACACACTTTCCTTTCCCGGTTTGTAGATCAGCCTTGCGTTGCATTCGTCAATAAATGCTTTCCATCTTTTGATTTTTGAGTTCTAATTTCTGTCCGAAACGGTAAATGTTAGTGGTTGATGATCTGTGAATACATTTAAATCTGATACTCCGTAGAGAAAATTTCTTAGCGTTTTTAGTGCCCAGACGATGGCCAACAACTCCCGCTCATTAGCAGAGTAATGTTCTTCGCTTTCGGATAAAGTGCGGGAGATCATAGTGATAGGTCTGCCTCCTTGCCAAAGGACAGCTCCTATAGCATGTGACGATGCATCCGTCGTTTAATCAAATGTTTTCCGAAAATCTGGATATGTTTACGTTACATCTTCAGATGTTAGGATTTCTTTTATTGTGTTGAATGCCTCTTTCTGTTCACTGGTCAAATCAATTTTGATTTTTTTCCACTGCGATGCAGAAACTCGACCATATTCTCCTCTCTGTATGTTCGAGAGTGGCTTTGCAATCTTGACAAAGTCCTTTATAAAACAGCGGTAATATCCCGCCAATCCTAAGAAAACTTTTTCTGGACTTGTTCTAATTCCCCCTTGAGTAACTAGAAATCCTAAACATTCAACCTCAGTTTGGAAGAATTTTGATTTTTCAGCCGAAACCCTCATATTGGCTTCGAATAGACTTCACAGTACCAATTCCACATCTTGTAAGTGTTGTTGCTCGTTTTTCGAGAATATGATTACATCGTCCACGTAGACGAAACACCTCGTCCCGATGTCTTCTCTTAACACATCAACTATCGCCCTCTGAAAAATGCTTGGAGCATTCTACAGACCGAAGGGCAATCTACAAAACTCGTATTTTCCGTTTTTTATGGAAACGCAGTTTTTTCCTTATCTGGTTCTGATAGTTGTATCTGGTGAAAGCCAGATTTCAAGTCAATTGTGGTAAAAAATGTACTTCCACCAAGATTGGACAAGGTTTCAGTAATTTCTGGAATCGGATATTTATCGCTGATAGTTTTCTCATTAAGTTGTCGGAATTCTATCACCAAACGTTTTTTTCTTTTGTCCAGTTTCGTCAAGACCCTTTTTCTTTACTACCCATATTAGGTTATTGTATGGAGACCTGGACATTCGAATAATACCATTCGCCAATAAGTCCTGGATTTCTTTCTTTACAAAATCCAAAAAACCTAAAGGATACGGGTACAATCT